TTTTTGAAGCAGGGTCTCCCTGTAGCCCCAGCTGTCCTGGAACTCACTATGTAGACAAGGCTGGCTTCAAAGTCACAGAGATCCGCCTGCCTTTGCCTCCCAAGTGCTGGGATTAAAGGTGTGTGCCACCATGCCCAGCTACAAAAATATTTTTAAACTATGAATACTTTCTATTTTTATCTAATAACATATCTTTGAGTAACATAAATTCTTCAACATTTACATTCTTCAAAAATTACATTAATAGGATATATTTGCTTTTCCTTTACCGTGTGTGTGTGTGTTTGTGTGTGTGTGTGTGTTTTCAAAGACAACCCTAAGTATCTCCCAAGTGATTTGATCCAAAGAAATAGAGATTAAGATTTCTTTTATGAGGAGGATATTAGACATCATTAAGTGCTTCTGATTGCTTTCATTTAAACATGTTCCCCAGAAAGTCCGTTAGCTCAGAATTAACTAAATTCCACTCAAAATATATGACATCAAAACAAATTTGAATGCCATCATTTTCAGGGCACTCCCACATCATTCTCCAGTACTTGAACTAGAAGCTTCCAGGGTTGGGGGGCGGGAGTGGGGAGCTTAGCTTCTAAAGTGTTTATGTGAGGCAAACATTAGCACTTGAGTTTAACTCTTGGCAACTATGTAACAAGCCAGTTGCAGCAGCCCTGGAAGGCAGACAGGAAGATCCCAATTGTTGAGCTCCAAGTTCAGTGACAGAGGGTCTCAAAAAAGAGACAGTTAATGTAGACACTCAACATACACCTCCACAAGTACACATACACAGCCCACACATGCCCCTACACATATACGCACATGGACATACAAACACAAAGAAGCCTCGGTCATTATTTGTATTTTTTATAATTACTATTTTTATTTAAAAATAGATAAAATGAAGTAATAGCCTTAAAATATTTTCAAAAGTTTTGAATTCATATCTCTAGGCATAAATAGGTATTTCTTCCCAAATATTTTGCTATTTACATTTGTTTATATGTATTGTAGGCGTTTGTGTTGCTACCCTGGGTTTGGCATTATGTGTTCGAATTTTAGCCACATTTACAATGATGTCTTTTGCTGAATTTAGCTTTAAGGAGAAAATATTTATTGCTTTAGCGTGGATCCCCAAAGCTACAGTCCAGGTAGGAACATACTAAGTCATTATAATAATTTTAGTTTGGTGATTTTTTTAAGTTCTAAATGAAAAAATATTTCTCTAATCACAAATTGTGGGCTAATATATCTTATTTTTAACATGTTAGTGACTGATAACTGTTTCTTAAAATCTGGGGCTGGGGAAATGGCTCACTGTGCAACTTGAGCAGGTTAGTTTGGATTCCTAACACCCATATAAAAAAGGGCTTGGCTGAGCATGCCTGCAAACCCAGCGTTCAGGTGGGGGTTGGTGGCTGAGGAACTAGGAGCACTAGTGGGCCGTGAGTGGGCCGTGATCCAAACCAAACATCTGGGAACTTCCTGTCTCAAGAGAATAAGACAGAGAGCAAAAGAATATAGCTGACATCATCAGGCCTCTGTATGTGCACAAATGGGCACACACACAAGTGCACACACATGCATACACCACACACACACACACACACACACACACACACACACACACACGACAACCCTTAATACAACTTTTAAAAATTGTTTTAAAGCCAGACACGGTGGCACACGCCTTTAATCTCAGCACTGGGGAGGCAGAGGCAGATGGATCTCTTATGAGTTCACGGTCAGCCTGGTCTACATAGTGAGTTCCAGGCCAGCTGGGGCTATAGGGAGACCCTGTCTCAAAAAGACCAAAAATATTGTCTTAAAGCAATTATTTTGAAATTTAGAAGAATACTTTTAATGAAAATTTTCTAAATATTATGAACGTGGGTTTGTTTTTTTCTCACTCCCCTAAACTATAAAGAATATATCTGAAACTTGCAATTTTTGTATTTTGCTAAATATTATAGAGGTAAATGTTATGACTTTACATTGTGATTCTAGAGACACATTGGTTTTTTTTTAAGAGTATCTTGTCTAGCCCTACCACTCAGTCCACCACACAAACGCATAAATGCTGCCTTTACTTACACATGTGTTTATGTGACTCTGACTGTGACTGTAAAGGAAGGGTAGAGGCAGCGTCAGCATTTGCCATGTTCTTACCTAGGCCTCCAGGTTGTTGCTTCTTTATCTCTGAGGGGCTCTGTTTCCTCAATTTACAGTAGCATCTACGATTGTATCTACTAAAGGCAGTGTTATGAAGAGTAGATGAAATAATACCTGTAAAGTACTCAGCACAATTTCTGGCATAGCCTGGTGTCCTAACTTGCTTTCAACCTCCACTCTAGGGAATAAGTCTACTAACGGAATATCTGCCTGTCTGTTGGTTATCCCTACTCCTACATATACTTTCAGTTTTGCTTTATTATTCATAATTTCCTCAAGCAAGGGAAAATCAAGCAGGTGTGAAGGCAGAGGCCACTCACCCGAGACCTGCCGCCCTACTCTGCCTCTGCCTGCTCCTTTTTCTTAGATCCACGCTTAGTTGTCTTCTGTACAAATAACATCAAGCTGGTGTAAGAGCTGGAAAGACATAAACTTTTTTTTTTCTGGAGCTGGGGATCAAACTCAAGGCCTTATACATGGTAGGCAAGTGTTCTACCACTAAACGGTACCACCAGTCAAAATTATTTATATAAGCAGAATCGTGTCCCACATAAGAGTTAGAACAAATATTCTAGAGTTAACACCTTCCCCTTCTTGCATTTCCTGCCCTTTTCCTTTCTGCCGTGAACAGGAACTGGCTAAGCATCAGGCCTTCTCTCACGCCTCCATGCAGAGATATTATAAAAATTAAAGTGGAAAAATTGAAGCAGCTCAGAAAGAACTTAGTTCACAAATGTTAGATCAGTTTTTCAACTCGATTTTCCAAAGAAATCATACTGTCATTTGGTGAGGCTCATTCATCTAAAAGTAGTTCCCACATGGGAAGTTTGTCAAAAGGAATAAGTTAGTTAATAAATGTAAAGGTTTAATGGTACCTACTGGGGCTGGAGAGATGGCCGAGCTTTCAAGAATACCTGCTATTCTTGCAGAGGACCTGGTTTTGGTCCCCAGCACCCACATGATGGCTAACAACCATCTGTAACTCCAGTTCCAGGGACTCCAATGCCATCTTCTAACCTCATGGGCACCAGCCACACACATGATGTATAAGCATAATGCAGGAAAACACACGCATAAAATTTTTTTTAAATTAAGGTTACAGTGTTAAAACAATGCTACCTTTTGTCCTTGATTTCGGATGTGGAAACTGATCTTAACTGAGGGGCTCTTTTGTCATGGCATCCCATATTGGAGGTAATGTTTCTACCATTATGCTGTTACTGTGCAACTCCATGGACCATGTATTTGTATTTGATCCCTGAAAAATGTTAAGGCAATTTCTTGTTATAATCATATATGTAAAGAAGTGTCAAAAACAGGGGGCTGGAGAGATGGCTCAGCAGTTAAAAACACTGACTGTTCTTGCAGAAGACCCAGGTTCGAATCCAAGCACCCACAGTCCATAACTCAAGTTCCAGGGGATCCGACAGCCTCTTCTGTCCTCTGCGGGCATTGCACAACATGGGTGCACTTACCTACATGCAGGTATATCACTCATACACATAAAACAAAAATAATAAATAAAATATTTATTTTTAAAAAAGATACAAATAAAAACCAGGTTCAATGGCCCATGCTTGTAGCTCCAGTGCTCGGTAGGTGGATATAGCTTGAGCTAAACAGTGAGACCTTGTCTCAAAAAAAGCAAAGATAAGTAAATAAGTGAAAGAAGATCCCTGGGGAATGAGACTTTTTGGTGTCCTTTCCATTTTTGTGTCCCCATTCACAGCCACCCAGTGAGATGTTAGGTTGTTGACAAGTAACTAAAGCACATGAGTGCCTTTTTAAGCAGTCACTCACCTGGTTGAGGCAAGAACAGAATTCAGTCAGTTTGCCAGACTCCACCCCTGTCACTTCAGTACCCCACCCACTCCCAGGCAGCCAGAGCAATGAGAAGTGGCTCACCCAGAAGAACCTGAGAGACAGTATTCTGTGCTGCCTCATCGCAGCCCTGAACCCCTACTGGCACATGGCAAAGACAACAACCAACCTGGACCATCTAGAAGCCCTGAGGTTCTGGGTACGGGGGAGCACACAGAAGAGACACTGAAAGGGAGGGGTCCTGAGAGGATAAGAAGACACAGCCCCTAAGTGTCTGCACACTGCTTTCTCAAGGCTGTTTTCCTTCAAATGTATTTGCTAAAACAAACCATACAATTCACGAGTAAATTATATAAATTATTCAACATTTGGTCTTTTATTTTTCTTGTAGTCTGGCACTCAGTTTTGTTGCTAAAAATATTATTTTTATTTTATCTCTATGAATATATTGCCTGCATGTCTGTAAGTGGACCCATGAGTACAGTACCCTGGAGGGAAGAAGAGGGCACCAGATCCCCTGGAACTGGAGTTAGGGATGATTATTAGCCACGATGTAGGTGCTGGAAACCAAACCTAGGTCCTCTGCAAGAGCAGCCAGTGCTTTTAACCACTAAGCCATCTCTCCAGCTTCTCGTTTTTAAGAACCACTTACTTTTATTATGTTAACTCTGGTTAACATTTTTCTTCTGCTCTATTTCCTCCCTAAGCACAGGCTGTATTGGGTCCTCTGGCTCTAGAAACAGCAAGAGTCACAGCAACCCACCTGGAAGCGTATTCAAAGGACGTGATGACAGTAGCCTTTTTAGCCATCTTGATCACAGCTCCAAATGGCGCTCTCCTTATTGGCATACTGGGGCCCAAAATACTGGAATGCAGTGAAGTGACGAGTCATATGAAACTGGAGTTGTCACACTTTGGACATCATTAAAAAGTTTGCCATTGCTCATCTGCTTTGTATAATGAATTATCTCATATGACAGAAAAATGTTAAAGAACAGGTGTTTGAAGACCAGAACCCAGGATTCAATAAATACGTGATTTCTCTACAGAATTTTCCTCTGATTTTTGCATCCAAAGTAAATTTAATATAAACAGTACTAAATGCAGTGTTTTTTTAGCTTAGTATTTGCATACTTCAAGAACGAAGTCACTAAATACCCTAGGAAAATGTAATCTCTAAGGCCAAATTTTATGTTGTGATACAAACTAAGCATAATAGAAATTAAGTAAACCTGAAGAAAAAAATTGTTTAAATTCAGAACTTGGCAAAATAAGCTAAGTTTCAAGTAGGAATAGAATTTCCCATCACTTCAGTCAGGAAAAATAAGAAAAAATGACAGGAACAAGATACATGAACTTTATCTGAAACAACTAAGTAAATTTTAATTTCTGATTTTAGTGACTATTAAGTAAAAGAATCAAAGGTATTCTTTTATTTTTTCCATGACAGCCTTAAAATGAAGGTCTTACCAGTTTTTAGATGAAACAATACTGTATTTGCAGAAATAAAATTAAATCATAAATGGCAATGAAAATATTTTCAATTAGTATTTTAAAAACTAGGCATTAAGGGGCTGGAGCGATGACACAAGGGTTAAGAATAATTGCTATTCTTCCAGAGGACTGGCCTCAGCAGACTTTGCATGCCACGGGTGCACTTATACACATGCAGGCAAAACACTCATACGCATAAAATAAAAACAAAAAGTAAAATTTTTTAAAAATATCTTTAAAAACCTAGACATTAAAAGCAGCCTACAGAAATGAAAGGTTAATGGGTTACAAACTACATGAGAGCTTCTTTTCATTAGCAACAGAATTATTTTTTCAGTATTGGTTAATGGAATCTGCCCTGCTAATATAAGGCTTGCTACAAGGCCAGGTGTCGTGAGACATGCCTTTAGTCCCAGCACTCAGGAGCCAGAGTAGTCAGATCTCTGTAAGATCAAAGCCAATCTAGTCTACATAGGGAGTTCCAGGTGGGCCAGGGCTAGAGGGAGGCCATGTCTCAAAACCCCCCAAAATAAAAGTAAAAACAGAAATAAAAAACTTACCTCTAGCAAAGTGCAGTTAGTTATATTAAGAATCTGTGACAGGAAAACTCGTGTACAAGCTTCTTAAATGAGGCCAGATGGCTCAGTGTATTGTAAAGTCACTTGTCTTGCAAGCCTAAGGACTTGAGTTGGATTCTCAGACCTAAGGTAAAGGTGCAGGAGTGAACAGACTCCACAAAGTTGTTCTCTGACCTCTAAATGCATGCTCTGGCACTCACACCCACACACACCTGTACACATGCACACAGTAAAAATAAGTAAAAGCTTCTCAAATGGCTTCTTAAAAATTGTGCGGATTCTAGGGCTGGAGAGATGGCACAGCACTTAAGAGCACTGACTGCTCTTGCAGAGGACCTGGGTTTGATTCCCAGCACCCACATGGCGGCTACAAGCCATCCTTAACTCCAGTTCCAGGGGAATCCGAAGCCCTTTTCTGACCTCCGTGGCATTGCATGACATGGGTGCACTCACATACATGCAGACAATACACTCATATACATAAAATAAATTAAAAATTGTGCAGATTCTTTCACTAAAGTCCACTGCAAGAAATAAACATCACTTTGGTACTTTTCCTTGTTGGCACAAGCAGTATACTAAAATAGCACGGAGTATGGACTTTATACACAAACTTATTAAACGATGCAATGGAAATTTAAGGCACTCAATGAAGCATAGGGAAAGGTGCCCCACAACACACACACACACACACACACATACACACACACACACACACACACACACACGGGGGGCGGAGAATGTAGGGAACAGGAAGCTAGGGCAAGGAAGCACAGGGAAAGGTGC